GAGGAAGAGTGTGTCAGTGTGAAGTCTGCTCGGCAGCCGCTCGCTGCTGTCTCCGCTCCCCGCTTCCTGGCGAGCCTGAGGGAAGAGCGCACGTCTCTCTCCTTCCCTCCCTGGCTGCTCTCCGCCTTTCTTCCCTTCATTTCGCTGAATTATCCTCCCTTCCCGGCGTGTGCGGAGCCGGGTCTGACCCCCCCGCCCGGCCGGCCGCCCGCTCCCTGGCATGAGCCGTCCGGCCGCCGGCGCCGCCTCCCCCGCAGGATGGGCACAGCCGTGTCCAAGAGGAAACATCTGAGGAACGACGCGATATCGTCCGTGGCGGCAAAAGTGAGGTGAGTCCGCCGGGTCCGGTCCGGTCCGGTCGGTGGGGGCGTCGTGTGCGGGGTGGCCCGGCGGCCCGGCGGTGTGCGCAGGCTTTTCCAACCTGCGTGTCGGTGGGGCTGAGGTGGGCGAGGAGGCAGAGTAGCACTGGGGCTCCCCTGGACAAACTTCACCCGAGGCGTGGGGGTAATAAAACAGGGACCGACCCCCCCCCCCCCCGGGGCCGGGTCTCCAAGCTGCGGTCTGTGCGGGTCTGTGCGGGGCCGGGCGCTTGCACATCGCCGCACGGTGGCACAGACCTCGCAGGGCAGCAGCTCTGGAGTTCTTCCTGTTCTGAAGTGCGCCAAGCATGGAGTTATAGTTGGGGGGAAGGAAAAAAAAACCCCAAGCCTTTAGTAAACTGTTGGCCAAAGGTTTCCAGTCATTGCAATGAGCGCTGCTGCACGGGCTGTGGTGCTAATGGCTGCTGTAGGGTGTAGTGCAGCAGTTGGGGGCTTCTGGTAGGTTTTCCGTGAATGTTTGTTTGTCCAGGGAGGCGGATATCCTGACTTGATCAGACTCCGCTCGCCCCTCATCGAGGCAGTGGACTCAGGCCCAGCGTGAGGGTCCTAGCAAGAAATACAGCCCGCACAAAACCCACCCCAGCCCCCCCGACAGCGAGTCCAGCCCCCGGGGGTTGTGCTGTACGTCGCCAGGCAGGTATGGCGCCTGAACTGACTGACTGTCGCCGCGAGGACGAGGACAGGCGCCCCCCTGTGCTCC